TGGTTTCACAAAGTGCTACCAGGTTAAAGCTGCCTGGCAAGAGCTGCTGGAGTTGGTGGAGGACAAGGCTGACAGGGTGGTGTTCGTGGTGGGGGGCAGCTCCTGGTACCTTCGGCCGCAAGCAGATCTTTGGAAAAGCAAGGGTAAGGGCTATGCGGGTTGGGAGCTTATGACGGGTGACGGCATGCGCGTGTATGTGTAGGGTTGTGGTGTTGGATGTAGTGTTGGAATTCCGCTGAAGAGCGAAGTTGAGGCCGGAGTTTCAAACCGAGTTGTTTCTCTGGTGGCGGTGACCGTTGTCAGTTTTCTTCTTGAGGCAGAACGTTGCGGAGCCTGGGCCCGGGGGTCCATCGGATGCCAGTCGTCCCGTCATCCCGTGTGGTTGGCCCACACTTGAAGATTTGAGCTGTTGCGGCGGTGTTTCAAGTAGTCCATTTGCGCAATATGTCATGCTCATCAACACACAGAACATTCGGTTTCTCGCTCGTGCACTGCACCCTTCCCAAACGAAGATGCAAGCTGTAAACGCATCTTTGTCAACCCCTTCTGAGCTTCCATGTCTGCTCGGGGAACAGGGCGGGGGGTCACCGAGGAAGTACGCAAGGAAGTACAACCTGACCTCCCAGTACGACGAGAACCTAGCACAAGTCAGGCATTGAACACGCCATGACATTGCGCAAGTTTCAGTGAACAAGCAAGCCGGGTTTTTTTGAGATCCGCTTTGGCGGCTGACAGGAGCTGGATTCGTCAGCGTCATGTCGTGCACGACCTGGACCGACAGCTGTGGAGGTGGCCGCTTTGCCCAGACGGCATGCACTGGGATGCTGAAGTGGAGGAGGAGCGCTCGACGAAGGCTGACCCCCCGATTTTTTCAGCCCGAATCTGATGTGCAGGAGCTCTGTGACACCTGGACGGAGCTCCTCAGCCCGCGCCGCTGCTTGGCCCTGCCACATGAGATTGTATGCCAGCGGGGATGTTTGTAGTTCAATCTACAGGTGCATTGGACATTATCGTCATGTCATGACTATGACGACTCATATCATCACCACTATTACCACCATTCACACAACAGCAACAGCAACAACAACAACAACAGCAACAGCAACGGCAACAGCAACAGAAGCAGCAATAACAACAACAACAACAACAACAACAACAACAACAACATCAGCAGCAACAACAACAACAGCTACAACGACAACAGGCACACCGGCAAGCAGACAAGCAAGCAAGCAAGCAAGCAAGCAAGCAAGCAAGCAAGCAAGCAAGCAAGCAAGCAAGCAAGCAAAGATTAACAAACAAACAAACAAACAAACAGACAGACAGGCAGACAGACAGAGAGACAGAGAGACAGAGAGACAGAGAGACAGACAGACAAACAAACAAACAAACAAGCACAAAAGCAAGCAACCAAACGAACGAACAAGCAAGCAAACAAGGATAAACGAATAAATGAACAAACAAGCAAGCAAACAAACACACAAACAAACAAGCAAAAAAAACAAACAACAACAAACAAACAAACAAACAAACAAACAAGCAAGCAACCAACAAAACAAACACGCAAACAAAGAAGTAAGCAAAAAAACAAACACACAAACAAGCACGCAAACAAACAATCAAATAAATAAGCAAGCAAACAACAACACAAAAGAACAAACAAACGCACAACACACACAAGCATATTCCCAAACACACAGACGCACAAACACACAAACAACCAACCAAACAACCAACCAACCAACCAACTAAACAATCAAACAACCACACAAACAAGCAAGCAAGCCAAGCAAACAAGCAACCAAGCATACACAAAGACAAACGAACGCACAACCACCACCACCGCCACCACCGCCACCACCGCCACCACCGCCGCCACCACCACCACCACCAACAACAACAACAACAGCAACCAACAACAACAACAACGACGATAACAACAACAACGACACCAACGACAACAGAGCACAATGGCGGCAACAGCTCCTCCAGCACCAGCACCAGCACCAGCAACAGCAACAGCAACAGCAACAGCAACAGCAACAACAACAACAACGGCAGCAGCAGAGGCAGCAACAACAACAACAACAACAGCTACAGTTTTTGATTGGGGATTGAGCGAGCGGGCTTTGCTCATTGGGCGAGTGGGTCAGTCAGCTTCAGACGTGCCGTAAGCATAGGCAGCAGTCAGTATCAGACCTGCCGACATCCTCAAAGAAGGAAAATTATTTGCTTGTGTAGAAAAGGAAATCAACAGAATAAGGCCTGGGTAGCTCAAGGTACCACTGCATACTGTACAGGGCTGTGGCATGTTTCGGGGACTGTCTTCAGCGGGCAGGTCGCGGGACTTCGCTATCAGTTCCCGTGGACGCTGCCCTGAGCTGGCACGAGCGATGCCCGGGCGGTAGCATCTGTACAACTCCGTATGTGGCAGCCCGGCTCACAGGGTCTTGGTCATGTCACGTTTGTCACCCTCAGTGTGAGTCATTGCGTCCAACACTCACGCACTGGCAGCCGGTGGGTCGTACTCTCCCAGAGTTTTCGTGTAGTGGCCGCACTAGGTAACTCCGGACTACCAGCGATGGGCCGTAAGGTTAGTGCGTCCACGAAGCACGTTGGCCGTCACTCCTAGCACTGCCTGATCCCGTCGGTAACAGGACAGTACGAACGCAACTGGAAAGGCCGTAGCCGAAGCCCGACACCCATAGCACAGCAAGCGCGTCCGTTTAGCGACTGTACCCAGACACGACGTGGAGCCGTACCAAAGTAGACAACATGTCGGGACTGACCTGGAGTCCTCTCTGTCTCAACCTGCGCCTTGTCTCAAGAACAAGGCTTGCCCGGCGGCCTGTGGAAAGGCCTCCCCCTCAAAAGAGGATAGCCATCCCAGGCCCTCAAGGGCACCCCATAGCAAGTGAAGTCCAAAGGGTGCACATCGGGGCCAGCGTTGGGAGGATGCATGAGGATGTTGTCGAGGTGCAGGCCGTAAAGTTGCAGCCATCTTCTCCTGTTGCAGACTTGTTCCCAGGCGCTGGCAGCTGGACAGCGGTGCTATGCAAAAGACTCGCGATGGTGTTGGAGGAATGCGATCGCTCTGGCTATGTCGCAGCCGGTGGCAGTCCACCTTGCTTGCGTACCAAGGTGTCGTTGCCGAAGCTGTTTGCGCGAAAAACACAGGCAATCCAGGTAAACTTGGGAGAGAGCCCTCATAGAGGCGCAAAACCAGAATGCCAGCGGCAAAACTGCGCAGAGAAAACGTTTGGCTATTCTTGGGTGTCTCGTCCCAGAAAGGTCGAAGAGAAGCACGGCACCAGGCCTCGTCGAGAAAGTTTCCTTCAAGGCACCCAAGTTCAGAAGGCGGTCAATATAGGATGGGATCTGTTCCTTGATTCGTTTTGTGCCGGCAGGTCCTCTTTAGGCTGGAGAAAAACTCTGTGGCATAGTCGGCTCGCCATCTGCTTGTTTCCTAATGTGTAGCCAAGTACTGCTCGCTCCACCGCGCGGAAAGGTGGAAGCCCTATCGCTCATCTCCAGCTCGCCCAGAATTTGCTGTCGAAGGAGGCCCGGGAATTGGGACCCGGCAGTCCACAGAGGCACAAGGCCCCCAAGCGCTCTTTAATGGCTCAAGCTGATAGACGTCCCTTAGACTTCGCAAAGGAGCCCGTTGCAGACCTTTAGAGTTGCGCCCGAAGCCAGGTTAGCACAGCTACGATGCCTTCGGTGAACCGTGGTGGCTACAACAACAACAACAACAGCAGCAGCAGCAGCAGCAGCAACATTAACATCAACAGTGGGCAGCAGCAACAGCAACAGCAGCCGCAGCAGCGACAGCAACCGCAACAGCGACAGCGACAGCGACAACGACCAGCAAGACAAGCACAACCACAACCACCATGACAATCACAACCACCAGCATAACCACAACCACAACCACAACCCCAAACACAACCACAACCACAAGCACACCCACCACAACCACTAGCACAACCACAAACACAGCCACCAGAACCATCACCACTTCCGCAGCCATCACAACTACCACAACAGCCGCCAATTATCACAACCACAATCACAACCACAACCACAACCACCACAAGCGCCACAGCCAACACAACTACAACAACCACAACCAGAAGCCACAGTTCCACCAACAGCAAAATACATCAGCAACAGCAACAGCGACAGTAGCAGCAACAGCAACAGCAGCAGCAAAAGCAACAGCAACTCCGCAACAGCAAGAGCAACAGCGACAGCGACAGCGACAGTAACAGTAATAGTAACAGTAACAGTAGCCGTAACAATAACAGCAACAGCAACAGCAACGGCAAGAGCATCAGCAACAGCAACAGCAACAGCAACAACAACAACAGCAACAACAACAACAACAACAACACTAACTGCTGCTGCTGCGGCGGCTGCTGCTGCTGCTACTGCTGCCGCTGGCTGGGTGAATCGCTGGAGCTTGCTACTCTTGGGGGCTTCCGTGTTGTTCCAGCAAAGTTGAGTCATGTCGTACTTGGAGCGATTTTCCCCAAAGTGTTGGGCAAGATTAGAACCGCGGAGCCGCTTGTGACCAGTATTGTGCAAAAGGCTGGTGCGACTACGAGGAGATCTCCAACAACAGTCGCTGGGCTGACGTTCGCAGACAACATCAAACGAGAAAGACAACTGACGCAACATCGTGCAACACAACATGTCCTGCCTGGGCCGAGGCGGTAGGTATCGGCGAGATGAACACAGTGACCTGACAGCACGGCAGCAACCTGCATTTCGCATTTTTCGCTTCATGAGCATCTCAGGCTGCATTCATGTGAAGTGGCCATTGCTTTGCAGCAGGTTGGGGGGGCCCAGACGACACTTCCTCGAAAAAACGCAGGGTTGATGATTCCAGCAGCTTGGTTGCAGAGTCGTCAAGGAGAATCAGCCAGTGCCGATACTGTTTTTGTGTTCATGTACGGTGTTGCGTCACAGCACGAACGCACGTGCACGAAGGACAAGAGCACCGCCACCCAGGATGGACGGCACACAGCCGCAGCACAGGCACCATCCTCAACAGCATTTAGAATTGACGCTCAGGTGCGTCGTGATGTTCGGTCGATTATTTGAAGCGGTTACGTGCAGCCCAAGGCGTCGCACAAGAGGAAGCTCGCAGTGCATGGTCCAGCCAGCGAGGCCCAGTCACAATTATTTCTGTATCAAGTATGAAAAAGTCTCAATGCGGCAGGTTGACGTCCTCAACACGGACTTATGTTGTGACACTTTAGGATGTGAAGTCTGGGTTTTATGGTTTAGCAGCCAAGGCTTGTGGTTCAGAGTGGGTTTCTCCTCGAAAGCATTGGGCAAGTTGTGCAAAAGGCTGGTTCGACCGCGAGAGCCACTGGGCTGATGAGGGCAGCTCGTTCGCAGAAGCAGCACGTGCAGACAACGTCAGACGACAAAGACAACTAGTGCAACATCAACGTCGCGCAACCTATTTTGTTTTTTCTGGTTCAGGCGTATCTCAGGCTGCATTCATGTGAAGTGGCCGTTGCTTTGCAGCAGGTTGGTGGGGTCCAGACGACACTTCCTCGAAAAAGCGCAGGGTTGATGATTCCAGCAGCTTGGTTGCAGAGTCGTCAAAGAGAATCAGCCTGTTCATGTACGGTGTTGCGTCACCGCACGAACGCATGTGCACGAAGGACAAGAGCACCGCCACCCAGGATGGACGGCACACAGCCGCAGCACAGGCACCATCCTCAACAGCATTTAGATGTGAAGATCAGGTGCGTCGTGATGTTCGGTCGATTATTTGCGGCGGTTACTGTTTTACGGCGGTTTTTACCCGTACGTGCAGCCCAAGGCGTCGCACGAGAGGAAGCTCGCAGTGCATGGTCCAGCCAGCGAGGCCCAGTCACAATTATTTACTGTGTCAAGTATGAAAAAGTCTCAATGCGGCAGTTTGACGTCCTCAACACGGACTTATGTTATGACACTTTAGGATGTGAAGTCTGGGGTTTATGGTTTAGCAGACAAGGCTTGTGGTTCAGAGTGGGTTTCTCCTCGGAAGCATTAGGCAAGTTGTGCAAAAGGCTGGTTCGACTGCGAGAGCCGCTGGGCTGATTTCGGCAGCTCGTTCGCAGAAGCAGCGCGTGCAGACAACATCAGACGACAAAGACAACTAGTGCAACATCAACGTCGCGCAACCTATTTTGTTTTTTTCTGGTTCAGGCTTATCTCAGGCTGCATTCATGTGAAGTGGCCGTTGCTTTGCAGCAGGTTGGTGGGG